GACAGAAACAAAATGATGAGATCAAATGTGACCGAGATCAACTGCACAGTCTCTTATTACATTCAGATGCTTGCGAGGGTGGGGCCGCTTTAAACAGGACACGTTGTGCACTTACTTTCATTCTCCTTGAGTCCTTGACATTATTTATCATCTCCACTTCTGCTTTGACTTTGTTTTTTTTCTCCTGCTCTTCTTCAATGCAGAGAGCCATGCTCTGTATCTCCTCCTCCATGCGGTCTGCATTCTTTTTACTGGAGAAAACCCACACAAGACAAAACTCAGAGCGTCAAACGCTGTTTCTGTGTCTTTGGGTTTCCTCAGATTAGAGACTATTAAGAAATCAATCCCATGGTTGGGTACAAGAAACTTACAGCTTTTCCTTCTCATCCTCATAGTACTTGAGTACCTCGTTGTTTTCCTCATTTAGGGACATGAAATTCACATACTCCCACGTAAATTTTTCAAGGTCCTCTGAGCTTTGTTTGTTGCCCTCTTCCTCACGCTCTTCACGCTCCCGGTCTTCCTTCAAATGCATCTCTTCAATTTCAATCGTGTCTTGAACACGATAGATTTTTCTGTAACAGAGATGGTTATGAATAATAGGATCCGAAGCAGCATCTTCACTGTTGGGATGAGCAGGAATGGAAACGCTATAATTGTGCATACTGACATGACAGTGCTTACCTTAGAAGAGCTTTTTCCTTTTCTTCTAATTTTAGCCTCTTCGAAAATGAATCCTGAGCCCTGAAACATGACAACATGATAATAAACACCTGGCAATCAGAAGTTTATAAATTGAAACTGCGTTATTTACGATGACCACAAAAGCATGGCTTCAAGATTTAACAGTGATGTAGAAATAATTACTTTTGCTCGTTCTTCAAAGGATTCGAGTCACGGAAAGAGGCTTCATAATTGGCCCAGTCTTGTTTTGCTCCGAGCTCTATTTGGGACATTTCTCTGTCCTCCATAGAAGCGCGTTGGGCCCAAGTATGCAGGATCTCCATTTTATGTATTGTATCAAGCTGAGAATGGAACAGAGAAAGAAATTAGAAGAGTACAGATGAAAAACCCCATCCACACAATTTCCAAGAGTAGTGGGTATTTCATATTACATACATAATTTGAACTGGAATAAGAAAAATATACAAAATTGGCTTACTTTACAGCGACCACTTTGTAAAACCTCAGCTTTGTATGCTGAGATGGGTTGAAACACTGCCCTCCGCACGCTGAGCGGCGGAAGACAGGTTTCGCTTCGGGCCCCTGTTGGTCGCGTTCCTGAGGCGGGGCGTTCCTGTTGTCCCTCTCTAATGAACAACCTGACTTCTTCCCCTGTTTTGTCCTCCCTGCATCGGAGCCCAAAGATCAGAAATTGTTCTTCAGCACTGAGACTGGATCCATTCACCTTCTTCTGAGGCGGTGGGTGTGGATGCAATTCTGCATAACATCACATTTATGTCATGTTAGTATGGCTCTCATGAAGGAACTTGTGTTTACGTCATACTCATGCCATAGGCCTATGTTTTGAATTCAAATGTAGCAAACCGGTTTCAGACTGTTTGAGCAGCTCACCTCTGGCAAGTGAAGTACTATGGATGGTCGGAAGCTTGACAGCCTGCATTTGGCTGGAGATTGTGGTGTTTTCGCTCACAGTAATGATGTTCTGGTGAGCGCTGACACATGTTTGGTGCATGAGCTTGCGAAATTTGTTACAGTACATTTTCAGATCTAAAAGGGTAGACTGCAACAATCTGAAAAGTACAACTGTATGATCTGAAATATTACCCAGATCAGAAAACTCTACTACTGTTTTGTGCTTGTCGAGATATGATTTAAAACTGCACTGAACAATGATCGTACACTGAATGATAATGCAGATTCACAATCAGACACTGATGTGGAATCAAGGCTTAATTCAAAATTGTACGCCGTTTCAAAACTGATCAAAAGCTGACTGAAGCAAAAATCGTATACCGACACTAAAGCGTGTATACTGAAGCAACGAGTCAAAATGAGGGTTTTGTGATCAAGGCAGGCCACAAGTTCTAAAAGCCACCAGTGCAGTGACGTCACAGTTAGAAAGAATTCACGCAGCAGCGCCGCGGATAATAAGATTCGCAATAGAACTCTGTTTGTTTTGTTTTAAAAATTGAAACAACTTATGTTCATATGATTGCCACATGCAGCCCAGGAGAGTAATCTAAATTACTTGTAAAAATGTATTAATCTTCTGCGTCTGCGCTCATGCAAATACAAATACTGACCGAATCTTGTCTCTTAAATTACAAGACAACATCCTGTGCCATTCACAGCGAGTCAGTTTATACGAATCTAGTTTCATTGATTTGAAAGGATATTACTGGAGTTTATTAAACATCTTTTGATAGCCTACAGTAGCCTAAGGACGTTTTGGCTCTGTTTGGCAGGTGTTAAAAACATGCAGTGTGACAGCATTATTGTTTAATAAAGGTATACTTTAATAAAAGTAATTCGAGAATCCACATTTTGATCGTTTGCTCTTACAATTCCAGCAACTTAACCGCTGCAAAAACATAAAATAGCAAGCACAAAACAAACAAACGCGATTTTCCGTTGCTGTAGCTATTATTTTGGACAATGTTTATTCACATCACTTTTACGTAAAATAAACCAAAATCAAATATCATACCGCTAAATGTTAATACCACTTCTCAAACTTTACATTTGAGTTGGTTTATTCGGGCAGATGTACACCGAAGTTATAGCGTTCATTTGTGCTCAGGAATTTAAGAAAAACAATTAAAGAACGTCACATAAATCGCAGGTAAGTGTCTACATTACATTTTCTTCTTTTTGTGTGTTTTCAGAGATGAGATTAATAACATATTTTTTAATATAGTGACCAACATATTTGCAACATAGTATCAAAAGAAGATCTGAGGTATAAATGCATGTAAAATAATTGTATGGCCAATAATTATTATAATATCTAAAATAATTGTGCATTATGCAGTAATTTCAGATAGTAACACCTACTTTGTTTTACCTAACAAAAGTGTTCATATTATGCAGTATAGGAGCTATTGAGGCATGTCATGACAATATACAGTATGTCTTTACAATGGGATTCTGCCAGTAGACTAGCTACATTTAGGCTTAACATTTTTTACTGGGTCTTAAAAAGGTCTTTAAAAAGTCTTAAATTTACCATCATAAACCAACTTTTCAGTTGTAATCTGCCTTCTTCACTATACAGTATAGTTGACACTTGCCTCAATGTGATGTGTTCAATGTAAGGCCATGTGTGTTGAATCTGAATTATTATTTTTTTTTAAATAAGATGACACTGGAATTTTAAGTTGGAGGACATAACCTGATTAACTGTATGCTAGATTTGTGTTTGATATGTTCTTGGAGTATCAACAGAAGATCTGTTAATGCTAATTTTTAAGCCAATTAGATTTCAGTGAAACATCTTTTAAAGTGATTAGTGATCTCTGTACATGAAGTCTGATGATTTGTGAGCACACATTTGTTTGCTTGCCTTTGAGCCATTGCTGACCTTTCACCTTGACCCCAGAATAGAAGTGCTCATGACCCAGGAACAATGATCACTTCATTCCTGTGCATGAGGTTTTTAGATTAAAAGATGCATTTTAAATGGACACCCTTGCATGAAAAATACATTTCAATAAAACCCAGAGAATCCATTAATTCTCAGAACATCAACGTGCATTTTCCTGTAAATGGAAACATTCAAAAACAAAAGACCTTCTGAGGAAAATGTTTAGCTGTTTAGTTTTCTTCCCTGTGTCATTCCCAAAAATGCTGAAAACCACCAGACTGAGACTTCTGTGTTTGTTTTTCCAGAAGAGCTCATGGTGAGAGAGGCGAGTTCAGCAGAACAGCACAAGACCTCAAGGTGCGCCACATGTAGCTCTGGGGTCTGCAAGCTGGAATTCAGCCCGCATCTGTGGATGCAATTATCAGCAAACAAGACTTGCTACATTGAACGCACCAACCCAAAAGTGCAGAGGACATCTATGATGTAAGAGTTCTGGACTGAATTCAAATAGAGTAGAATAAAGAAGCTTTTTTAAAATAGTTTATTTTTTTATAATTGGCCATGCAAGATCAAACATTATATAGTGCTGTGATTTATTTTTAATGGGGGAATAAATAAAGCAAAATCTTTTTTGGCAACACTAAAACTTTTCTATAATAAAAAACTTAATATTTTATTAGGCCTACTGGATACAGTAATCAAACTAATACACTAGCAGCCAAAAGTGTGGACTGAATTTGTTTCCTGCGACCTGTAGGATTATGCTTTAAATCTGTTTTGCAGACAACTATACATTGTGCTCACATAGGAATTTCTTGTCAAACTTTTTTTTTTTTTTAACAAATGGGCTGAATAGTGAAGGACAAGCAGCCAAAAAGTGTTCAGCATGCATGGAAACTCCAGTGTTGTTTAAAAAGCATCCCAGGATGCACCTCATGAAGCCGGCTGAGACAATGACTGGACTGTGCAGAGCTGGAATCTACACAAAAAGCTGCTACTTTGAAGAAGCCAAAATGTAATGCTCCACTATTATTCTAAAATGTGTAAAATAGTAATACTATTTTTAGGCACTTTTATAACATTTTATAAAATCATATTTCTTCCCGTTTTCAAAGTGGAGCTGTAATGTTGTTCTTGTCTTTTTAATGGTCATTTTAGGGTTTTATGTGTTATGTTGTTCAAATGCAGAGAGCCCTTCTGGCTATACTTATGAAACAGTGTTTAATGTTTGGCTCTGTTTACTTACATTGATTACATGTGTGTTTGTGTGTCTGTTGTTGTGTGTGTGTGTGTGTGTGTGATTACAATTCAAGACTGTTACACGTGAACCTTGTGAAAGGTGTGATCTGTGAAGAGCCAGACTGCAGATGACGTCAGTGACGTGGTATAAAAGCATTAGAGACACAGACACGCTCAGAAGCTCGGCTCTGTCGTCCTCCTCCCCTCACTCAGCATGCTGTGGACTCTCCTGTTCAGCTGCAGCTTGTATCTGCACGGCGCTCTGGTTTCTGCTCAAGGAGTATCCAGAGGTGAGTTGACTTATGCACATTTGCATTCACTTACTGTGACATTCATAAATATTTAAGGTTTGCACACTTCTTGCACAATGAACTTCTATTACTTGACCATAAAATGTCTGCTTTTGTTATATCTTGGACATATCCAGGACTTTAAAAATATGTTTATAACGAAGGACTTTTGTTTATTAAGTTTATTAACATCTTCACTAGAAAGTGCTTTACAGAAAGGATACAATATACACTCAAACAGATTATTATTGGTCTAACTCTCTAAAGTGCACTGCAAGATTGTTCCAGAGAGAATATTCATATTTATATTTTTCTGGATTATATATAATGTCCATGTTTGCCCCTTCCTAAATGAACAACTTTATTTTTATTCAAATAATTTTTTACAAAGCTCTTAAAAAGGTTTAAGCTAAGAATCTTTTAACAGATGCTGTTTGACGTGTAAGATGAGAACCTGTCATGTGGGCAGATTTTGGTATGTTTTAAAACACGTAACAACACTGCTGAAGAGAACATTTACGTTCTACAGCTGCAGTATAAAGACCAACATTTTAAGTGGCCCACCAGGCAAGATGAATAACTGATAAACTGAGCTTATGGAAGCCTGGAATGCATATGGAAAACACTGATGCCGCTAATGGAAAGAGCACACTTCCCTTCTGTCTGTCTGGACTGCCCTCTGGGGAGGGGAACCTCTGACAGAAGCCCCTCCTGTTACATTTAGAACTTGGATTTTTTATTCTTTTAATTAATTTGACCACAATCATTAGTGGGGAAAAGCGAAACCTGAGCTTTACTGGGACCCTAACCTCAGCTCTAGAGCTAAGAAAGAAATGCACTCAGGTTGATTTGATAATTCTAGTGTTGCTACTCCTGTGGCTCATAAAACCAGCTTCATAAATCACAACTGCAACAGTTTATCTGCTGTCATAACAACATGTTCATGAACCCATGAGATTAATCAAACTGAAGCATGCTATTTGGATTACATGTTATGGTCATGCCTAAACACAGAAAACAGGATCCAACATTAGCCCTTGCCAAGGCAACAGACTTGGACTGGGCTTTGCTATTCACAAACACACCGCATAAACAATCGAAGTGAGTGAGTTCTTGGCAAATTACTCTAATACATTTCCTGACTGATATAATGTCAGATGCTGACAAATCATCCACAGGCCTGGCAGGAAAAGTCATTATATTTTGAGCTTAGCTTTATATGCATTAATCATGAAACCGTCCTGTTGTTTGTATGTAGGCCTAGTTTACAGTTCACACAGTCTTAAAGGGAAAGTTCGCCCAAAAATGAATATTCTAGGTTTTTCACCCTTATGTCATTCCAAATCTGTATGACCGTATTTCTTCTGCAAAAGAAAGATATTTAGCAGATTGTCTGAGGTGTTCCAAAAATAACAATACACGGTACGCGGCAGTCCAGAGTGTCTAGTTCATTCTCAATGGTAGACATGCGGAAAGCGGCAAAAGGCGGGCGGTTTCGCTGGCGGCGCGGAGGCAGAGCGCAAATCACACCTCATAAAATCCTGCGCTTCCACGAGCACTGCGCTTCGAGGCAGGCGCCGCCAAAGATAAAAATATTTAATCTTTTTGTGAGCGGCAGCGGCAGCCGCGTCGGTTTCAACCAATCAGTGAACAGATTAACAACCATGACCGCATCAATACGATTTTTTTTCTTTTTTGCATTTCCAGCAAAGCCCTGTGCCTGGGATGCATTGTTTAGGCTCAATTAATCTTCTCAATTTTCCTTTAAAATTATATTTCATTCAAATACTTACTTCAATCATGACCTCACAGGTAATAATGCTCTTTAGGCAAATCATCAAAAACAACTTCACTTGTGCCAAACGAAAAAAAAAGGTAAATAATGACAACAATTAATGACAGAATGACACAAACACAAATTTCCGTTATGTTTTATTTAGTTTTTAGTAAATGCAAAGGTGATGTTGACAATTGTAACTATGGCAACGTCCGCTCTGAGACCGCAACGCGACCACCGCCTCACTGCACAAAACGCTTCCACTACAAGAGAAAGCGGCAGCCGCGCGGCGATTCCACCGCTTGCCGCGTCCCGTGTAAAAGGGCATTAAAAGTATCATAAAAGTGCTTCATGCTGTATTTTGAGCCATTAGAAAGCTGTAAACAGAACGAATCTGAATACATTATTGCTGAAATTCTTGACTTGAAGTAAATGGTAAGGGGAATTCAGCATGTTGCTATAAATCATCTTTCTGATTCTACATTGTTACTACAGATGGAGAGATTATCAAACAGATTAAAGGCACAAACCAGGAGCTTGCTGAAATCAAAGAACTGCTGAAACAACAGGTAAATCATCTAAAATACTGAAAAATATGGAAGAGGATGCCATTGCATGTTCTCGGGTAAAATGATTTTGCATAAAACTTCGAGAAGGGTCTAGCTGCAGCCTTGCACTTGCACTCTCAGACTTGCATTCTCAGACTTGCACTCTCAGACACTTGCGCTTCCGCTAGCGACGTCACTTGCAGTCTTTTATTTTTTTTATTTTGTTCTATTTATTGATTACTTTTTGTTTGAATCTCTCAACATTTTACAACAGTATAGCCAGGTGGTGAAGACAAGACAAAATAAACTAAATTACAATGTCACTTGCAATCTTCACTTGCACTCTCTGCTACCTGCGACGTCACTTGCAATCGACAGAAATCGTGCGTGTGGCCAATGGGAACAAGACGCTGTGGTGATTAAATGATTAAAACTAATTTAGTACTATAACATACAGGGTCCTGCAAGAAAAAGACAAGACCCGCAAATCCGTGGCCACAGCAAAGTCTGAGAGTGCAAGTGCAAGGCTGCAGCCAGACCCTCTTGAAAACTTCTGCTATCCACTCACACACAAAAATATTTTCATAACATTCCAGCCTGTTAAAGACCTAAAGCACATTTTAGTTCTTATACATTTTTACATAATACTGAACTCTTTGCTTTATAGATACAGGAAATTGTTTTCCTGAAGAACACAGTTATGGAGTGTGAAGCCTGTGGTGAGGAATTCTAAGCTTATGATTGCATTAGATTCATAACTGAGAGTGTATCTGCTAAAAGTTGCATATTTTTTCTCTCATGTCCCGCTAGGCATGAGACCAGTAGATCCTATAGAGCCGTCATGTGTTCCCAACCCCTGCCATCTTGGTGTGGAATGCATAATGACTCCCAGCGGTGTGAAGTGTGGTCCGTGTCCAGAGGGCATGACAGGAAATGGAACTCACTGTACAGATGTTGATGAGGTGAGTGGGCTGTCTGAGATGAATTAGGGTGAATTCCAGTCAGAAGTGAGCATCCCTATGCCATATGCTTGTCCTATTACCATGAATGGGAGAAAGTGCAATGCGCAAATATGGTGGAACAATCCTGAAAAGTGGAATCAAGTGGAAAAGTCCCCCTTTTAAGATGATCACTATTTTATATTTTATCCAATGGTATATAATAATAAATAAATCAATTAGAAATAAGCTATGTTTAAGGTAATATTAAGTGAAGTACATTTTAGACACAATATTGACTTTTTTATTTTTTTCGATCGTTTTATTTGGTTTATTCTGCTAATGAAAATAGTTCCAAACAGAGTGACAGCAGAACTGTTGCGTCTCTGATCAACATAGTGGTGTTTCGTTTCTAAATTACATTTTTTGAATGAATCAGATGAGTCGGTGATTCAATGACCCATTAAAAAAAGAACATTCACTTGCTTCATTCCTGAAGGAATCAGCTGTACTGAACAAATCGTTTGAATGAACCAATCAATGATTCACTTATTAAGACAGCACTAGGTGCCACCAACTGCCAGTTTTAGTTTCATAGGTAAAGTATAATTGCATTTTTTCAACATGTCATATTTCTGTATTCAATGTTTTATATTTAAAACATGAATCTCATTAATTTCAATCATTAATTTTTTCCTTTATTATGATAAGACAGATCATAGCTGACAAGAAGCTATGTGGGAGAGAGAGAGGGGGGTGTGATCGGGAAAGGTCCTCCCGTTGGAATTTGAAATCGGGACACCCATAACGCATATGCGCTGTATGTCGGCACGCTGCCCACAAGGCTATCAGCACCAACAATAACACTTTAGTTTGATAATCCACATTCTACTATATGCAACTATACACTGTGTGCACAATTATTAGGCAAGTGATGATTTTGACCATATCATCTAACTGTTAGTCTGGTAATAGTCTAATAAGAGTGTAGTGAGAGTTAATTGACATTAATTGATAGTTGCAAAGGTACTTAATGTAAAAGTGGACTATGGAAAAAGTGTAATCCAGATATATAATTTGTACTTCTGACATGACAACTCTCGGAGGGATTGGCATGGTAATGTACATGACAATGTTAATGTATTTGGTCTTGGCGGAATAGATCTGCTACGCTGCTGCTGCGGCAGAGCAAGTACCGAGACTTGCTACTGCCAATACATCCACAACATGCTGCTGTGAGCATGTAAGAAATATTGCTGCTGCAAATATAACATACATGAAATAACCCCCATATAGCATACATAAATCACCTCGTAGCAGATCTATACAGGTGGAGCTGGGGAAGGTGGAGGGTTTCTGAAGCAAGCTGCGACTGCTACGGCAAGCACTAGTCATATATTTGAATATTGAGCAGCGAGCTCATTGGCTACCGATACAGGAGAGAACCAATCAGCTGTGCCATGTGATAATGTCATTAGGTCAGATTGAGTTAGACCTATCGGACTGCGCCATCTAGAGTTTCATGCCAGAACTCTGTATTTGACTGTGGACTAAGATTTTTGTTCTCTACTGTTTCTTTGCTGTGTACAGTGTGCTGTAATGCCATGTCACATGGGGGTGAGATGCATTAACACGTCACCTGGTTTTCGCTGTGGCCCCTGTCCTGCTGGGTACATGGGCCCCCAGGTGCAGGGGGTGGGACTTGCCTATGCATCTGCCAATAAACAGGTATCATTTTTAAATGGGAATCTTTTAATTCAAATACAAGCAATCAATGGATAAAATGTTTGAAATTGAATGTAAATTCTTATATGCAGGTGTGCAAAGACATTAATGAGTGTGAGAACTCAAATGGAGGCTGCGTGGAGAACTCCAACTGTATCAACACACCAGTGAGTGATGCATTATGCTCTGTTAGTCGCAGAACCAGAGCACCATCTGTTCTGGTTCGCAAACCAAAAAATGGCTCTGTTCTGATACACTGTAAAAAGGGACTTCTGCCAGTAGTAGCAGTACCTTACCCTAAAATGACTTTTATGCCTGAATGAGGTCATATTAAGGAATATTTTGGCTTGAATAAAACCAGTTAATTTCGATAACTTAAAATCGGCCTTAAAATCTTCAGCCTTAGGCAGATGCTAACATGGGCAGCTTGAGTTATATGCCCTTATCCTTAAAACTGTGAACATAACTGTGTAAGATAACAAAAAAAGGACCAAGACTGAATGAAATACTGATTACAGATTTGATATTATGTTGGATCAACACACCATAAAATGGTCTACAACATTTGAGAAATGGATTCATATCAGTCAGTTGGAACATCATTCTTTCCATTCTCCTTGTTTATGTGAGTCATTGTGTGTCCATGGCAGGGCTCTTTTCGCTGTGGCCACTGCAAGACTGGTTTTGTTGGGGATCAGGTGAAAGGCTGCAAACCTGAGCGGGCCTGTGGTAATGGTCAGCCCAATCCTTGCCATGCCAGTGCAGAATGCATTGTTCACCGTGATGGACAGATTGAATGCGCAGTAAGTCAATGATCATACAGTATTTCACACATGAAACACATGATCTACATGGTCAAACTGATATAATCTGTTTTAGTGTGGAGTTGGATGGGCTGGGAATGGATACTTATGTGGATCGGACACTGATATTGATGGCTTCCCTGATGAAAAACTGGAATGTTTGGAAAGAAACTGTGCAAAGGTAAAACATAAAAACAAGTATTAAAAATGAAAAAGTACTAAAACATTCTCTCAGTGGTGAGATCTCAATAAAACGGTTTTCTAGGACAACTGCCTCACCGTTCCAAACTCTGGCCAAGAGGACGCAGACAAGGATAAAATCGGTGATGCATGTGATGATGATGCAGATGGAGATGGGATACTGAACACAGAGGTCAGAGGTCACAACACCACCTTTATTAAAGGCAGTGTTATAATATCACCATATATAAGTAATCAAAATCCTGAATGTGAAGTGCACAGGAGACTCAGCTCCTTTTCCTTGTCTTCTCTATATACGATATGCGTGGGGAAAAAAAAGGTCTTAGAAGGAAATCTTAGAAGGTTGCTTCCTACCTTTTGGAACAGACTTTATGTTGGGATTATGATCAATTCTGTGTAGCGTCTGGACCAATCAAAAACACAATTTTTCATTTGATTTAACAAATCAGTTATTCATTAGATTAACAAATCGTCACAGTCCCCTCACCCAATAAACTGGGTGCCAGGATGCCTGCAACGACACCAGGCCCCCCTGGTCCCCATGGCAACTAATGCTGATATCACTGGTTTTATGACCCACAGGAATGATTATTCATATTTCCCCATGAGCTGATTCGCTACAGCTGTCTAGGGAGGCAGCTCACTAAGATATTAAGAACTAGGGGTGGGCGATATAACCAAAATCTTATATCGGGATATGAGTAATTTTATTTCACTGTAACGATATATATCACAATATAGTTATTTTTGTTTCAAATAAGGTCTTTAAGATATTACCATTTTTGATACCATAGAAATGTCATAATTCTTGTCATCAGTGTCAATATCACAAAAAACTAATACTAGCCTAAATTAAAAAAAAAACTCACTGAAGACAAGTAAACAGTCAGCGATTACATAAGAGTAAGAAACTAATTACAAGCAATTGGACAAAAAACTACAGTAGAACAAATAACTAAGAAATGATTCATACATTGTGTAATCGAATGAATAAAAACACTGCATATTCTTCACTAAGTAAATTAAATATATATTTCTTATTAAAGTTACAAAAGTGATTTAGTCAAGAGCAGTGAGAGATTTTCTGTC